ATCGGTTGTTACTAAAATTTTCATGAATTTACGATTGGAAAATTCACAAGATAACTTCAATCAGAAAACATTTCTACTGAAATTCTTTATAGATGTTCTCTCCAGGCCGTAAGTGCAGTTCAGGCTTTACACATTATGACTTAATTCTTATGTAATTCCTTTTTGCTACAGTTTAATTGATTGAGTTAAAAGGAAAATAATAGACTGACCTCACTTTTCCGAGGTAACTGCTACTAGACCGTGATATGTTATCAGCATCCATTGAAATCACATATTCTGTACAAGTGGTCTTGCGAATCCGTTTTGCAGACAGAAGAAATTTGCCGTTTTCCACAAGTAAGGCTGCAAGAAAAATGACACAAACCGTCAATAAACCATCACTATAAACTTTACATTCCAACTAGAGAACAACAATCGATGTAAAAGAAGCATCGGCCCTTCAAATGTACATTATATAACCCACATGGGTCTCTCGACACAAGTATTCTCTTCAAAATAGAACGCAAAAGAAGTCCCGGCTGTATATTACCGTTCCATAACAATCTCTTTTGGAGAAATACAATGAACATGACGGTAAAATTTAAGTTAACGAACAGCAAAAGTAACCTTTTTTTTTTTTCCTTCCTCATCAATACTACCAAAATATCCATATCTTTATCATGACAAATGTCACAACTCACATAGCCATTGAAGCTTGCAAAAGTAAAGACAGAACTACATTATTCAACTTACATTGTGATCGTCTGACCACAAACAGCAATTACGACTATAACATAGCTATGTTAATTGCAAATCACTTTCTACAATGAACTTAACTAAAAGGAATACTGAACTCTCCAATACCTCCATTAGATTTTGTAACAGAAAAGATCCGTAAGAACTTACCCGGGCTAAGGCAAAGAAATAGATGGTAGGTTGAGTTAGATTTGTTCCTCTTAATGAAACACTGAATAGTCCCATCTCGATATCCAGGCTGAAAAAATACAATATATTAAAAACAACCATAAAAAAAAAAACTGAACTCATTGCCACAAGCAGGGAATAAGGCAAATGCAATACAGAAAATTTTCTTTAACCTGCTTGAGAGATATTGGGAAGGTTAATTTTCCTGAAAACTCTGGACACCGAACGAGTTCCTTGCACATATCCCTCCACGAGCGGCAAACTGCCGCACAAGCAACAACGTGCTTTCGTGCGGGCCATGTGCTCTCATTCTCCTCCAGCCTTTGGATCACATCACGAAGAAGCTCCAGCGGAAGCCCAGCCCAACAACTGCTCTGAACCACTTCGGGCTGATGATCGTGCAACTCATAAACAGCCGCATGGGACTTCCCACGAAGCCTAAAGTCAAAGCTCCTTCTCGACAGGCTCCCGATACTGTCCCTCAGGTCACGGGCCAGGCCACGAAAAGACATCTTCTTAAAACAGTGAGCCTGGTACTCTGGTTAACTCTTTTTAATGGATCTCACTTGTACTTTCTTCAGGCTTTCTGCATTTTTCGAAGGACCTGTAACTAAGTTAGCAAAATACCATTTACTTTTGTCCAGTGACTTAAGAGCAAAGGAAAAAAAAGTTGAAGGTTTTGAAGAAAAGCACAGATCAAGAAAAGAAGATTCCTGCAAAAGGAGAAGCTCTCACATGGAACACACAAAGATGGATCACACTGACATATTTTAATTCAACGGCCCTTTTTTTCCTACTTCTAATTTGACATTCTGATGATATATTACAGCAAAGAGATGCACAAAATCACAACAATTGAAACGGAAAAAGCAAATTACTTCAAAAGGGAAAAAAATAAAAAAAAAAATCCCAAATCAAGTTCGATCTGGTTCATGAACAAAACAAAGAGACAGACAAGATTACAGACACACTTTAATACACATCAAATCATAAATCAGGGAAAAACAAAAATAAAAAAGACAACCTTTAAGCACATAATCAAGCCGCCTGCAAGAACCCAAACCGCCCACCCAAAAAAAAAGAAAGAAAAAAAATCAAAACTTTATACTTCATAAGGTCAAAAATGCACAAACCCACATGTTCATATGTCCACCAAACGCGTACAGACAGACTTTTAGTGTCAATAATTTGTGCAGCGAAAATCAAATCGCAAGCCCGGCAGCAGAAAAACGGCAAGGTAAAAAACGACGGTGATGGGTCTAAGAAGTGAAAAAAAAAAAAAAAAAAAAAAACCTTGGCTATTGCGTGTTCACGGAGGAGGATAACGATTAACGCCGGCGGTTTTGTCTCTACAAAACTGTATGTAGCCATCGTTGAAATTGTTCCTTCCGATTCAACACGGTTTCGGCCTGCTACATGCCTTCAGTCTCTCTCTCTCTCTCTCTCTCTCTCTCTCTCTCTCTGCGCTAATCTCTCCCTCTCTCTCTAGAAGACTCTCAGCTCTCTGTGTAGGGCTCCACACACCTTTTAAATTAAATAAATATGACTACTTCACGGGCTACTCTTGATGCTGCCCTTTTTCTCCCTAAAAAAATTAAAATAAAGAAAATAAAAGTGATAATAAAATGAAATAAAGATAGCATTTTTTTTGTTTGTTTGTTTTCCTATTTATTATTTTTTTTTCTAAAACGATAGATAATATTATAAATTAAAATGTACAAATGTGCGAATACACAGCAGTCAACGGCTGAATATACAACAATGAACAGTTGAAAATGTGGGATGACATGTTAACCCTCTTTTTAGTTTTTCAAAACTATGTAGTGTAGATCATATTTAACTTTAATATGTTGAAATAATAAAAGTTAATTACTTTATTGAGTTATAAAGTTTGCAATAACAAATTAAGAAGTCTAGTATATGCTCTAACTATATCCATTAATTAGATTAAATTCTCAATAAATGATTTTTATTAATTTATTTTATTTATTTATTTATTTTTTTGAAACCTTTATGCTATGTATCCCTTCCATATCATTGGAATTTAAATTAGTCTATGAAAAGAAATTTTAAAATTTATAACTCACGTATTCCTACTTTAAATTTTGGGTCATTAATTAATTAAAATAGGGACCTTAAAAATGAATTAATTTTCCTAGAATTGCCTAATTACACTTTTATAGCAAGAAATTATGATATGCCACTTGAATATGAGTAGATTTTCCTTTAGTGAATAAATTAATCTCGATTTACGGTTTTGTTATGAAGCCAATAGTTGGCTCTATAATGGAGCCAACTTTTTATATACAATAAATAAACCTACCGTATTCTTTAATTATTTAAATAACACTAATATAATTTTATTGATATAGTAGGTTTATTTGTTGTATATAGAAAGTTGACTTTACTATGGAATCAACTGTTAGTTTTATAGCAAAACCGATTCAATTTATTTTTGTTCATAATTCAAAGCAAACCTTTTGATTTATTACCAACAACCATGACAATATATAATTAATGCAAAAAGAAAAAAAAAAAAAAAAAAGAAAAAAATTTGGTCAACGGTCTTCTTTTGAGTTCTCAAAGGTCATTACCGCTAGTCAGCTTAAGGATCCCATATCACGGGCCTCCAATATTAGTCAAATTGATAATTAAGGGATAATTATCTGTTTAGGACAAACAAATCAAGTTTTAGGACAAGATAATCTCTTTTACAAGTCACGCGTGTCACTGTAGTTTTCCACCTAATTCTAATTGCGCGACAGTTAATCATGCGACTGTATAATTTGTTGACTTTTATGTGATTTGACATAACTATTAGCACACGATAATTTAACATTTCATTTAATCATAAATTGAAATTTATTGCTAATTAAGAAGCATTTTTTTTTCTATTTATTTATGTACAATAGTTTTTAAAGTCTTGATTTTATATATCTAATATTATTTTTAGAAGATGCTACGGTCTCGTTATAGAACCATTCCGTCGAGATTTGTAATTGTTAGATCAACTATCTCTGACGGTTACATGATGATCTAACGGTTACAAACCCCGACGGAATGATTCTGTAATAGGACCGTAACATTTCTCTTTAGTTTTACCTATTTATTGTGGATTTTCGTTTGTGTTTGTGTCAAATAGAGGAGCCTCAATTTCAAAGACTGAAATATGATTTTTTTTTTTTATATATAAATTTCTCAAATATATGATAAATAAATAAAATGCATCATAGTTAGTTAGAAATTACAATACATTGAGGTTACGTGAAGGATAATCTGTTTGAAGCGTGAAGAGTAAAAAAGGGTTAGATTCAAATCATAAATGGCATGCAATCTTGTTCACATATCACAATTTTGTGACTTGATAATAATCAATACTTATAACATTGTAACAAGAGTTTGGTGAATTTTAAGTGTAACTTTTTTTTTTATTATTATTATTATTGTTATTATTATTATTGTTGTTAGTACTTTGCCATTTTCTTTCACATTTTCTTTTGATAATTGGTTTAATTTGACAAAGTACTTGGAAAGTTGTACGTAATAAACAGTTCAGATATATTAAAAAAAATTCCAGATTTAAATAGATCGCCAATAAAAAAATCAAACTCAATAATTTTTTGAATTATACGAGCCAAATAAATGCATATTTATTTTCATACATAAATATCATATTTTAAGCTACAATTACAAATATACATTTATCAAGGCCTCTTTGTGTTTGTGTATGCATAAGTGGTTCAATTGAAACATTTCAAGTTCTTTTTAATTGCAATATTAATTAATTCAGCATGATTATTCTTAGATAATAAAAGTATATCATTTATAGCATAAGTATACATTTTTTTTTTTTATTTATTTCTTTTCTATGAAAAGTGACTTACCTCATGTTGTTATGCAATTGTTAACAACAATTTCAAAGTAGATTTAGGTGATTGTTATTGATGATTTTAACGTAAGACATGTAATAAACACTCAACAATGGCCCCGATCCGAGGTGGACCGGGGTGGAAAGCTTCTGTGAGCTGTTTCGTGTTGCATAGTAAAAATTTTGGTTCGGGGATCCCCCGTACAAGTATTAGGAATCACTATTTATAGTAACTTTTTAAGATACATATTGGGATTTGTGCGATGCTTTTTGCATAAAGATACTTTTGGCGGGCGGCATCGTCAGCGGGTCCCACTTGAATGATGAAAAATCTCGTGGCTCGTGAAAATGGCGTGTAGGTGTCTCGTCATCAATTTAGGAGGTGATGACCTCGGTTCGTTGCAACTTCGGTTTTGGGTTGACCTCGATTGTGAAGGCCATCTCGGTCTTCTATGGCTTGGCCGGTTCGGTAAGTGGACCGGGATAAATGTCGGCTGAGTTCTCGAGGCTGATGACTTTGGTTTACAGAGTTGGATGATAACACCTCATATAAAATTTTGTGAAATAATAAATACTGGCTATTGAGAAAACCCAATTTTATGTCCTATTTGGTAATAACTTGATTTCTTTGAAAGTGGAGCTTTAGGTACTGATCATATCATGAAGATTTGTTTATTATTGCAATATATATAAGTTGAGAAATTTACAAGTTTAGTGATTCTCCATTCTCCTCGGTAAGGTGTATGAGGCTCTTTAGCCTCGATTTGGAAATACTCTGTAACTATATTTAGAGTTATAAAATCTATCGTTTCGAAAAAAAACAAAAAAAAAACAAAAACAAAAAAAAATAAAATTGCAAGTTGAGTGTGAACTGTGTGATAATGACTTTTATATTTAAAAAATGTATTTACGGTTAGACTTTGAGGGCAATAATATATGATATTAACAACTGTTGTTGAGATTGGGTTACTGCCTCAAAATAGAATCATTTTTGACTTGTGAATAGATAGAAGCAGATTATTGAAAAAAAAAAAATAGATAGAAGCAGATTAACAATATTATTGTTTGAAAATTTGTTATTAAATGCTTTTAAAATTGAGGAAAAAAAATGTCAGGGAGGAATTATTAATTTATAGCATCAATTGCGTACAGATTTATATGCTTAATTGATAAATATAAGCACTTGAAAATATGAGTTTATTTTATATTTTTTTTTTCCTTATGAAATATTTTCTTATATATCATCTTAAAAGAAAAAAAAAATAAAAAATGATGTTTTTAATAGGTTTAAAATGGCTTGTGGCTGGGGAATAATCATATTCA